AATAAGCTGTTTCGTTGTATTCACCTCCTTTCTGTGTTTCTTGAGGATGACGCTGTAGCAGTGTTTAAGTGGCGTTCACGTAACTCCCTTGATCTGAACTAGCTGAAAATAAAGACAATGTCGCTAAGCAGGACGCGTGGCTCATTTGTATTTACTTTCACCATAGACTGCATTGCGACTGCCCGAGTGTCTTTAATTCGTTACACTGGAATTCTTCACTCAGCATTGATCTTTAATAACTATGTATCAACCATTTTAGGGCCTCGCTGATGGCTCTCTGTGCAAGATACCGCATCAAAAAGCGATCCTCTTTTATTTATTTATTTATTTAAATACCTTAAGAACCCTGGAGTTAGGGTATTACATAAGGGAGTGGGGTTATAGGAGATGTGATGATAACAATTCGCGGAATGAGCCGATGTCTTGGGTGGAGACGATGATTTCAGGCAGGCCGTTCCAGTCCACAGATGTCGCCGGGAAAAAAGATTTAAAGAATGCTGTGTTTCGGGTAAAGAGAAGGCCAACTTTTGCAGGGTGATCAACACGAGGAGATATGCGATGAGGTGGCAAGATGAATGAGCTATGTAGCTGGTCATCGGAGTAAAACCTGTGAAAAAGACATAGTTTAGCAATACGCCTGCGTGAACATAAAGGAGTCAAAGATAAGTTTTGTTTAAGTTCAGTTACGCTGACAAACCTGGAGTACTGAGACGTTATAAAGCGAGCTGCACGGTTCTGAAGTGATTCTATGTCCGATGTAAGGAATTTAAGATGAGGGTCCCAGACTGATGATGCATATTCTAACTTTGGGCGTACTAATGTGACGTATGCGAGGCGTTTGACAGATGAGGACGCGAGACGAAGATTGCGGCGTAAAAAACCAAGAGTGCGGTTTGAATCGGAAATGATGTTGTTAATATGAGTCTTCCAGGAGAGGTCGTGAGTGAAGTGAACGCCAAGATATTTGTAAGTTGAGACGGCATCAACATTGAGGTTACCAATAGAGTAAAAAGCTTGAAGGTGTTGACGGGTTCGAAAAAAAGAGAGGGATTTAGATTTGGAAGCATTTAAGAGCATTTGCCACTTTGAACACCATTCATTAATTCGGTCAAGATCAGTCTGCAGATTAAGTGAATCATTTGTGTTAGCTATGGGCCTGTAGATTACGCAGTCATCGGCAAACAGGCGGACCGTAGAGGACAGCGAAAGGGGGAGATCATTAATATATACAAGAAAAAGCAGGGGTCCAAGAACAGATCCTTGCGGTATGCCAGAGGTTACAGGAGCGCTTCGGGAACGGCAGTTGTTGATGTGCACATGCTGGGTTCGGTAAGAGAGAAAATTTTCAATCCGTGCTACAACGGAAGAATCAAGGGAAAGTGCGGACAGTTTTGTTAGTAGGAGTTTATGGGAAACACAATCAAAAGCTTTGGAAAAATCGAGAAAGATAGCATCAACCTGAGGAGAGGTTTCTAGGGAAATATGAATGTCATGGCTGAAAGCGGCAAGCTGTGTTTCACAAGAACGATGTTTTCTAAAGCCATGTTGATTAGGAAAAAAGAAATTGTTTTGTTCTAGAAAATGTATAACTTGGGAATGAATGACATGTTCCATGAGTTTACAACAAACAGAAGTTAATGATATGGGTCGATAATTTAGAGGGGAGTGCGTATCGCCGCCTTTGTGGACCGGAACGACCTTACCTTCCCTCCAGTCGTCAGGAATAGCACCAGTATCTATGGACTGTTGAAACAGAAAGGTTAGAAAAACAGTTGACAGTGGTTTAGTAATCTTTAGTATTTTACTGTTTATGTCGTCAGCCCCTGGTGACGATGAGATCTTAAGTGCATCTATCAACTTGCTAATGCCGTTTTCCGTGAGAGTAATTGGATGCATTCGTGGAAACGACATGGTTACATTATCTGGCAAAGATGTGATGACGCTACTGTTAAACACAGCGGAGAATGCATCGCAAAACTTTTCAACAGCATCATCATCAGAGAGATTAGTTCCGTTGTCATTTACCAATGAAACCGGTTTACGATAGTGGGGGTTTATTATCTTCCAAAATTTCTGAGGGTTACTTTTGAGAATAGCGGCAAGATCGCTCTGATAAAATTGTGTTTTAGCTTTCGCGACAGTCGACTTGTACAGTGCGAAAGCATCTGAGAAACAAGACCAAGCCTGATCTGTGTCTAGACGTCGGGCACGTCGGTACAATCTCTTTTTCCGGTTACAGAGCGTTTTAAGCTCTCGGGTGTACCAAGGGGCTGACTCGTTCTCTCGAAACTGTATTAGTGGTATATGACGGTCAATTAAACAAAGTAGCGTTTCTTTAAAAAGCATCCAAATATCTTGTACAGAACGATCAAAAAAGTTGGGCATACATGACTCCATAAAAGACTTCAGGCCGAGGTTGATCAAGTCAGTGTTTGCTTTTCCATATATTCTAATTTTTCGATATGATTCAACAGCTGCGTTGTTTTTAATGTTCAAAGAGCAGTGTATGCACTTGTGATCGCTGAGGCCATTAATGATGTTTACATCGTTTATTATTTCGCTGTGCGACGTGAGGACTAAGTCTAGAATCGAAGATGATGATTCAGTTACCCTTGTTGGCTGCGTTACGAGTTGCTCTAGATTAAACGTTAGGCACATATCTAAGAAAAGTTTCGATTCATTTCGAGATGCCGTTGCCGACGGCAGATCTTCGCCCCAGTCTATGTCTGGGTAGTTGAAGTCTCCCACCAAAACCAGTTTCGATAAGGGGTGCTGCGTTCTCACGTCGCACAGTGCGTCATGCAGCCTTTCAACAAAAGAAGCGTTGCAAGAAGGTGGGCGATAACAAACCCCAACAATGACAATGTTGTTTGAACAGTTGATGGAAGCAATTACAATTTCTAGATCAGACACAACGTTCACTTTTCGTGGATGAAGATTGTTTTTTACAGCGAGGAGGACACCACCGCCTCTCCCTGAAACCCGATCACTGCGAAATATAACAAAAGAAGATTGGTGACTTGAGTTCAAGAAAATTTCATTATCAGTTATTTCTGACGTGAGCCAGGTCTCACTTAGTGCGATAACACCGATGTTCATAACATCGATTAATTCATTTATGTCGTCACGCTTCGGTATTAGGCTTCTAATATTGGTGTACAGAAAAGACAATGTATTGGCATCGTTCGCATTGGTACATGTTGATGGTGCTGTAATTCCAGTAGCTGGTTGTGTTAAGCTTTTACTAGGTGGTTGCTATCGCGGGCATTCAAAAACAGTATGGTTAGACCGGTCGTACATATAACATCGTCCATTCAATAGAAGCCTGTTGAAGGAAATCTTAAAGGGAGCTGCCTGTGTCTTTCCATATTCGATTAATTTGCTGCGGGCCGTTCGGGTACTTTGCGAGAAGTCTTCTGCTATCGAGACGTTCGTTCCTCGCAACGAAAGCCGGGAGGAGAAAAGCTGCTGCCGTACTTTACCTAATGCAAACTTAACAATTATAGGGCGTTGTTTGTTGGGGCTGTAACGGCCAATGCGGTGAGCCCGGCTAATATTTAAAGGTTCAAGGTTAATTCCGAGTTTTTCGCTGCACAAAGAAATAACCTTTTCTTCCGATTGAGACCAGGTCTCCTCTGGTGCGTCGCTAATGCCGTGAAATACAAGGTTTCCTCGGCGTAAGCGGTCTTCTACGTCATCCAGGCGGAGCTGCACCTGGTCGACGCTAGTTGTTGCTTTAGACACGGTCTCTTTAACACAAGCGATGTCGTCCCTTAGTGCTTTAACATCGCTTAGATTGTCTTCGATTGCCGAGACCCGCGAGTTTAATTCAGCTAAGGACTTGGTCGCCGTTTCCTGATCTGCGCGGACACTTCTGATTTCAGAAAGAAGGGATGTGTTCATTGCATCAAGTTTATCAAGAACAGTTTGCAAAGTTAGGTCATCCGGACCAGGGTTTAACTCAACGTCTCCCGAAAGAAGGAGACGGAACGAAACGCAAAAACACTCGTACGCAATAGACAAACAGGCACAGGGGCATGGCAGCACGAACAAAAAAATGTCGTCGCTTCGTTTGCAGAAATACGACACGTTGTTACTCACCTGAAAATACATGGTGATTATTGAGTTGTTGCGCACTGCTGTCGTGCCGCCATGCCCACTGGCGAAAAAGTTGTGTAGCGGCGTATAAATACAGGCCATCTGGCCACCAGGGTGAGCCAGAGTCGATGACGGTGACGAGTGATAGGCATCGATGAAAAGGGGCTGATCCATGGCGTCGGCGTGTCTCGGTGTCATCATACCGGTGTCGAGGAACGTGCCTGGTATCGATGATGACGTGTTCTTCTGCGGTGTATGGCCCACGAAAAAACAAGAACTCGTTCCACGGGCCGAAGTCAGCACGCAGGAAAGCAGGAGCTGAAAATACCTGCTCGTATTGTGCGGCCATTGTGTTGCTTGTATCGTTTGGAAATATATTACCGCGTGCATGGGCGAGCAGAAACGCCTCTCTATACTTTTAGAAGATTTGTGTTTACTCTTAAAACGTGTGGGTTGGGGAAGTTAGAAGTTCAGCTTTTTCAAATCAGTCTTAATCCCGTGCCACGTGTATGATTCGTCATAGATTTGGCGCATCACTAGTGGATATTTTATACTTTATGAATTCTAGGTTCTGTGAAAAGTGGGACATCTCAATTTAAGATAATGGTTTAATCACTCTTTTTGTGGGTATCTTGGAAGCATTAAATCAGACGTTCTTTTATAATACTCCACACACGCGTCACTACAGATAATCGACAATATATTCTCAATATATATTGAAAATAGGTCCACGTTTAATAGACAGAATAAGAAAAGAAATACGTTGCTATCCTGAGACAAATATTTATTAAACTTCGTTACCTGCCTCTCTTGTCAAACTGATTTGTTCCAGTTTTATTATTTTCTTGAGCTGCCTTCAACTGCGTGTTATCAAACAAAAAGCTTCCGCTTTTTTGTCGCAGAGGAGGAACAAATTCCACAGCTACCCGGTTGTGGGTTCACAAGGGTTCAAGACAAAGCAAGGAAGGTAAGTAAAATATACCGAAACGTCCATTCCAGCCCGTTTGCGAAGTTCCATTTTTATTTCCATTACTTGTTTCACTCAAATACTGCGTCTAATTTAATTTCCTCATTTGTTTTGTAATGCGTTTGTTTCGCCATTTTTTTTTTTTTTTAATCTTGCTCTCTGCTGGAACTTCTGTTTTGTACTCTGCCTATAATGTTACTTTCCATTCACTTCCTCTACCTCAGCGTCAGTGTATCCCTTTGTTACTCATAGGGAAGCATGTGTCAAAGATGGGGGGGGGGGGGGGGGGGGGGGGGGTTGGTGCAAAATGTTTGAACACAAGGAGGACCAACCGCACTTAGTACAAAAGCAGTACTTTCTTTATGATCCTCCATACCGTTCCAGTGTCGGCTAGGAGTGCCCTGCTAATCCAGGACGTGTTGTGTACCCGTGCCGATTTGGCATGGGTCGACTTGACACCCGGTGCCGAGATTTGTGAGGAGTCCCGTGAGCTGGGTCTGCAAGTGGCTCGACAATCACCAAACTCAACTTTTTATTTAACCTGTAAAAAAACAAAATGTCCACAAAACCTTTTATGATAAGGTCGGCGGCAGAAACAGAGTGCACAAGAGTTTCTGACGTAATAATTTATAAAGAATTTATACTGGTTGAGTTTATGAGCCGGCAGCGCTGAAAAATGCTTGATTAAAAAACCAGATTGTGTTGCGAGTATTTCATTGGATTCTACGAGAACGGACCACTTATAAAAAATTATTAGTATACACGCCTTCTCGAAGGTGTTAAAAACTGACACGAGGCCTGCCAGCTTCTATTTTAGTGAAGCCTCTGTTAAAATAGGATGATTTCACACCAGATAGTAGGTACAGGGGATATATATATATATATATATATAAATATACAGCGGGTGGGTGTTTTTATTATTGCAGATTTGTTTAAAAAAAAAAGCCATGAAAGCTACACTTATGAGGTTTGTGCGAGTAAGTTATACACCCAGGGGGACATTATAAGGGTGACCAATCTTTGCGATAAGTCGACTAATTAATTAGAATTTGTTAATTAACTTTTTAATTAGTGAAAATAGACATATGGTTCCAGTTAGAAACTTGCTGACCGTCATCGAAAAGCACTAAATCAGTCATTTTTCAGAAAGACTTTTAGCGCGTGAGAAGGGTAGCAGTGCACTAAAGTTACCACTCGTGGAGCAGGTACAAAGCTAGCGGTTGCGATAAGGCGCCTGCGCGATTTTTCCGTCTCTTATCTAGCCCCAGCCTTGTACCTGCTCCACGAGGGGTAACTTTAGTACAGTACTACGCTTCTCACGCGCTCAAAGTCTTTCTAAAAATTACAGATTTAGGGGTTTTGGACGACGCTCAGCAAATTTCTGATTGGAACCATATAACTATTCTGACTAATTAAAAAGTTCATTAACGAATTTTAATTTATTAGCCGATTTATTGCAAAAAATAGCCCCCATATTGTCCCCCAGGGACAAGGAATATTTTTTTATGCAAAACGTTATGAAACACGTCAAGTAAACACGTTTTAGAGACACCTTCACAAATGAAAATGTATCAAAATTAGCATCTTGAAGTTTACTTTACGAATTTATAAAAATATATGTTTAGCCATTATTTTACTCGTCTTACTGATTCAGAAAGTCAACTCATTTTTTATGTGACAAAATTGCCCGTAAATATTTCTAAAAATTTATCTTTTATTTCTTTTAATCTCTCCTTAATTTTCTCCAGTATGTTTAACTAACTGCTAATGGCAAAACATTGAGTAACATATGATCCCCGAAAGTAAAACAAAAACGACCACAAACCATCACTCAGGTCGAGCTTGCTTGTCTTTGTTTAGGGGCTTTGCCGCACGAAGTCGGCTTCAAAGGGACATTTTCTTGAACCGACAAAGGCTGTACAGCAGGGCAGCTCTATCGTAGGGTGTAGAAAGTCGTGCTTCCAATAGCTTAGCTTTACTGCTGCCGGCAGTTAAGAATTGTATGTGCAGCCACTACCGCGAAACGCAAAACCCGCACACGAGGAAGGTCTGTCACCACGAAGGCAAGGCTAGGGAAGTAGTATCTGGAAAGTATTTATCTTGGTGTTCAACATTGTGTGACGATAAATAATTCAGCTTATCATTTCTAAGTATCAATGCGTACCGTACAATTGAATACAAATAGAGGTTGATAATCCCGACAGATTTGTTTTTGGGTGTTTCTACGTAAGTTTATACAATGAGAGCCTGTCATATATTTTATATTGCTGTAAAATAAATACCCTATATAAAGCCTGTCCTTAGGAGAAGCGCTGAGTTATATACCTATACATATATGTATAATGTGTTTCACTAAACACGGGCAAAATCGTTATTTTAAAAAACATGCATCACACGGAAAAAAAGGTTGATGTGACTTGTTCCTGCCAAAGGGCACATTTAGGAAAAAAGGACAGTGCTGATATAAGCAGGGGAATAATTACATATATTAATTAACTTTCTAATTCATAAATCTTAAGGTATCAAATCAATTAGAAACATTATAGGCATAATTAAAAAGACTTGAATCGACCCAGAATATACACAATATAAAGATGTATGTCATGCGCAGCACTCTGTGGCGCTCAGAAAAAACACTCGATTTTGAAGCGTCTTGAAAAGGCGAAGGGGGGGAGGGGGGGGGGGGGGGGGGAGGGGCGTCTTAGGAGGCAACGCAAGGAAACACAAATACAAAGCTAAGCTAGGGACAGCACTACTGCCTACACCCTGCGATAGAGCAGCACCGCTGTACAGCCTTTTTCGGTTCTAAAAAAAAATGCCTTTTTGGGCCCAGAACAGTGCGGTAAAGCCCCTATAACAAAGACAAGCAAGCTCGATTTGAGTGACAGTGTGTAGTCATTTTTCTCTCTCAAAGGGCATACGTTACTCAATATTTTGCCATCACTAGTTTAATATACCGCAGATCAGTAAGGAGGATTTAAAACAAATAAAAAAATAAGTCTTTCTTAAATATTGACTTGCAGTTTTACAGATTTAGAGAAATCAACTCTTTTTCTGCATAAATAACACAACTGCAATAATGGATAAGCATATATTTTTATATTTTCATAAGATGCATTTAAATATTCCCATTTTAATACATTTTGCGTCATTTTATATACAGACGTTTGTTGGTAAATGGTCTGGGAATGTGTATTAAACTGGTCGCATGCGTGCCACTTCATCCTTGATGCGCCAGTCCTATCGTAAGTGTGCCTGCTCGCCCTTGTAGTTTTATTAATGTCAATTATAGACCAACTAGCCCAATCAAAAGTCGGATTACTCTAAAACGTGTTTACTTGACGTGTTTCGTAGCTTTCTATTGCATGCCAATTTCGTATTGTAATTTTTCATATTTTGTTTACATGCTGTAAACGTTTCTTATAAAATGAGTAGAAACTATTATTGCCACGTGCCTGCTTCAGTGGAAAATCGACGGTTATGCAAAGAACCACAGCTAAACTTTGGCAATTTCCACGCCTCCAGCTGGGTAATGATATATCTTCGGAATAAAATTAGCTACGGCGTTCTCATATAGCTGAAATATCCTCCCATCAACATGGCTTTAACATGTATTTTTACATAAATATAAACAAAATATGACACGTACCATCATTGGACCACCTGACTCGGAAACACCATATAGTCTCAGCTTTGAAGGAACAGTACGTACGGTTAAATAAAACCAAACAATTTTATTTTTTAGCCTGTTTAACATGCATCCAAATGCGAGGGGCTTAAAAGGGGCAAAGGAACCGAAAAATATATATACTTTTTTTTTTTCTGGCGTCAACGGGTAATTTAGTAAGCGCTATATTTCCACAACCGTCGCAGAGAGAGCGCGTGGGCGTTCAAATGGTTACCGCGCTTGACTGCCGCGCGGAAAGTCTACATTCGATTCCAGTCAGTGGAATGTTCGTTTACTTGTTCTTTCAACTTACCGTTCTCGTAAGTTCGAGAAGTTTCTCGTCTGATCGATTTCCGAATGTTTCTGCGCACGGAAAGTTCTACGCCGAATGTTCCAGAAACTCACGCGCGTACATACGAGACTCCGCATGGCGAGCGGAGTCCGTTTCGCCCAAGCACTCGATCCTGCTGTTTAGCCGACATCAACGCCTGCGACGCTAACCTTCTCCTCTTTTGTCTTGGGCACAAGTTCGCCCCATTAAACGTTTAGTTTGCTTCAGTTTTCATCACTTCTTCAATTGTCATTCGTGACAATATGAAAAAATAAGACCCGCGAGACACGCAACAAATCTTTCCAGACAAGACTTACACGGACTCAAAATTCATTTTACTACTCATGGTTCCCCACGGTCTTAATAAATAAAATGTATGTAACACAAACATAAAATTTTTATACTGCCAATTTAATTCCGTTTGAATTACCCAGCTGGTTTATTAATGCTATTCATTTAGTGATCTGTTAAATACCTTTTCACGCAGAACAGAGGTGAATGAAATATATAGGATCCGTTTGGCCTTTGAAACAAGGAACATATAACCTCGGAGGCGCAGAAGTCTCATCTGCTCTGAAGTCCCTGTTCTTAAACTTAAAAGTGACGAAGAGGATTCACACGCGAGCCTCATCAAATGAATCGTTTTCGCCCGATCAATCGGTGAAAAAATTAGACGGTGAAGAATTCATTAATCGATTAGTTCGTAGGACTATCAGTTAATTTCACAACCCTTATGTGAAGTGTCAAGATTAAAAAACAAAAATATATTGAAAGGCCAAGTTTGTCGTTGGTTTTTTTTCCCTACCTTAGTGATGGAAGGAGGATGTTTGTCGAATTTTACAATTTTGACCATGACTTGTTTACGTCCTCGTGCTTTTCTTGGTTTCAGTATTTACTTTCCATGGCGTGCACAGCCTGTGAATCTCAGTTAAATAAAACGATACGACCGGATTGCACACTGTGTATTGTACGTAAAATATTGTTTATATATATTACCTAATTTACTTGAGCATTAATAAATCCAAATGTGATGCTAGAGAACGACTATATATGTTTTGCGATTGTGGAAACATCAAATCTAGCAGTACAAACGTGGCCTATTGCCAATTCTATATTATCGCATCACTTGGACTAGACCTGGTCTGTGTGCAAAAACCTTTAACACGTAATTTCTTATCTGCACTCTGATTGTAAGCGTTAAATTTGAAAAGAAAGTATATTTATAGTTCGAACTTTATTAATCACGTGGCATGAATTACTTGTGGGTGCATGAGTTCATTGTTATAAACAATTTTTCTGGGTACTAAGTTATTTCCTGTCTTCAATGAGAACGCCTCATTGAAGGTTGGGGGACGCTCAATGAGGCGTCAACTCAATGAGGTTGACGCCTCATTGATTCATGAAAAAATTTAGCAACTTTTAATAAAAAAATATTTAACGCAATGTATTAATAAAGACCCGAGTTTCTATTTTATATCACGAATTTTCTAAAATATGGCGTAGCTCTTGAACTAACCAAATTTAAAACACTTGGAAACAGTTCCAATGTAAATTTTGAGAAGTTTGTTATTCGTTGCATTTTTTGCCATTGTCGTATTCTTTTCTGGTCTTCATTCGTGGGTAACTTGTAACGTCTTAAACAAAAATATTAATTTTATTCTCCCGACTGCATAAAAAAATGATGGTCGCGTTTTGGGCGTTTCAACGCAAACCTATCAATGGAGTCATAAGCTGTATCATATCCTCTTCTATACTCACAAAGCCTGGCAGTTCGACGACGAAGCCATAGAGTGCCCGGTCGCAGATTTGGAGCGCGAGGATCTGGTAGCAGAGAGCATCAAAGAGCCATTTTTTGGTGAACGTGGACGTTAGCACACAGCTGTTGGCGAGGCGAGGACCCGAAACACACTTGTTCGCACGGGAGAAGTGTGTTTCGGCATCTCGCCACAGCGGGGCGCCAGTCACGTGGCTCTCCTCTCACCCATTGCCTACCGCTCCACCTTTTCCATTTCGGCGGCCACTTCTCGTGGCGATTTTCCAGGCTTTGTTAGTATATATAGGAGTCCATGGCTGTATCCACTGATTAGGTTAGAACGGCAGGGAGGAACCTCCAGCGCGAACATCCTACCTTCGACATCGTTCCACGTCTCGTGCACCTCGGGCACGTGCACCCAGAAAACACATGGCAAAGGCATTAAACGCGTGTTGGAGGTCAGGCGTTCGAAAGACGCACCCTGCTGTTCTATATTTTTCAGTGGTTACAGTGCATACGGGGTACCCCCCTTCCCGCCTTTAAAAAAATATATTAGTGTTGTTTTTATTGCAAAATAAACCACGAAACGCCGAATCTCTCTATTCTCCTAGTAAATTCAGCTCTAGCGGTCTGAACCAGATGCCTACTAAGTAGCCGTTATTTCATACAAAAGTTACAAATGACTTTTTTTTTTACAACCGGCGCCATTCAGCGCAATGTAATCGACCGCCATTTTCCCATTGAAACAATTGAAAATCGCTTTAACTTTTGAATTAGATAACGGTTACTTCTCAAACTTCGGCACCTGGTTCGTATCTCTAGCTCTGCAATTGGGCGGAGAGTGAGCGTTCGGCGATGCGTAGTTTAGTTTTGCGACCACAAATCTTGTAATATTTATCTTTTTAGAACACTCTGTACCTTGTGAACCGAACTTTGAGCCGGGCATTTATTTTTCCGGTCATTGATTTTTCCGGTGTATGTAGAGCTAATACATATTTTTCCAATCGTGAGAATAGTAATCTTCTTCGATGGGGAAAGTAGGGCTCATGTTTTCATAAACTCCTGGCGGTAGAAATCTCGATAGTATCTTACATAGCCACTGAGAACCTAAGGTAAGCAGGATGTTGCTTATTATATCAATGATTTTATACATTGAAATCATGAGAAACGCAAGGAGTGACAACTCCCGAGCAGCATACACAGGTATTAAGACTGCGGTATTAGTCCATAAGAACGCCCAAGAATGAATCATGAAGCAAGAAGTGTGAAGGTCACGGACCCTGTTTCTTAAGCTGTCCTTACCTATAGCTTTGTGATTTGTTATTGGGTTTTTTAACGCCTAATGTCGCAATTTTATAGGTAGTGGAGTGATGATAAAATGCTGTGGATTGGCCATGACCTGCGTTTCTTAAACTATCAGCGAATCTAATATGCTGCGACATAAGAACTGCGGGAAAGTGTCTACCATCTAATTCCCGTATAGAAATGACGTCACTATATGACTCAGTACCAACGTTACTAGATTAGCTCAGTTACAGTACTAGCCGGATGCCCATAGACTCTGCTTCCACGTACAGTGGGCCCCCTCTCCTCCCGGAGTTCGCCTCCGGCCGTTCGACGCGCCACCGTTATGAGGACGGCTGATAGAGTAACTACAAAACTTTCTATGAAATACGTATGGTTTGAAGCGCAGCGCCTACAGCCGGCGTTTGACCGTACCATATGGAATATGCAGTTTTTAAAAGAGAAATATAGATATCACTTTTAACGACGGGGGCGGAGTAAAGGAGGTGAGGGGAGTACCCGCCGTCCGCGAAAGTTCCACAACTGAGCTGGTTTTTCAACTGAGTGCTGAGAGCACCGTTGCTCTCAGCACGAAATCAAAGATTTTTTGATGTCACAGGGGGGAAGGAGCATTCGACAATGTCTTTTTTTTTTTCTAAAAATTAGATGGCGTAAATAAATTTGTTCCTAATGCCCAAGTGAACTTTTATTAAGTGGAGAGATTGTTCTTCTTCTGGGGCTCTCCTATAGCTCTTATGTTGCGACAGACTCTAGTCACTCGGCGCTTAAGAGACACAGGGCAAGGCTCAGTATCTTCACCTTTTTTGCTTTGTGATTTCTTCTTGAGCGTTCTTATCAGTTATTAGCGAGTTTTGGTAGACCGCTTTTGTGCGCCCGGTCAACCCTACAGAGTGGCGCATTCGCCACTGCGCATGCGCGGCCGCTCTGAGTTTCAGCGTAGGCGGCTGCGCATGAGCAGTTGGCCAGGCTCGAAGCGGTAAGTGAAAACGAGTTACTTAAACGCCCTGGTACCGCCATCTCACTTGCTGCGTAGTGAGAACATGCTTGGATTTGCCATGCCTTACGTTTGGTTAGCTGCCAGTGACAAAAGTGTAGTTTCATTTGAACCTCCAATGCCGCTCTAATAGCAACCTGTTTTTTTTTTTTTATCAGTTTTGGGATTGAGGAATACTGGACGTACAGTTCACATTCAATGTTTTGCCTGAAATTATTTCTCAAAGTTGACGCCTCAAAATAACGTTCCTCAGTTTGATCGAATAAATAACCCTCACGTGTTACTTTGATTTTGTTTTTAACCCAGGTATATCAGAACAATACAGAGTCAGGTGAAGTAAGACTTACAGTGGGAGAGTGCCATAATGGAACATGTGTTTCTCGTAATCCGAGTGAAACCGTAGATGTAAAGAAAGAATTAATCACGAACTCCGACTTACTCAGGTACGAATCATACAGAAAAACACATGCCAGCGCATATCGTCTATTTTGAATTGGTATCCTTTAAATTGTAGTATAAAAATGGTACGTTTTGAATAAAAATATTAACGAGGAAATTAAGGACTTTTGACCATACCGAGATGTGCACACAAGGCGGAAAGAAAGCGAGCACACGCAACTGTTTCGAGTTGGGCGGGGCTCTCTTTTAAAATCCATTTCTACCAACAACAAAAAAATACAACGCATGTGTTCATTTTTTGTTACGAGGCTGAAATCCGATGACAAAAAAAGAAAATACTTTTGTCTTTATTTGTTATATATTTGATCAACACCTACTCGTTCCTATTTATGTCATCTTGTCTATTTTATAATTAATGTGCCGACATATTTCCGAGACAGCCGAGGGGAGATCCTGAACTTCTAATTGCCCTTTTTCACATAAATTTCTTTTATTTAATTTATGGCATATCGGTAGTATGGCCTCCTGTTAAAGTGCCCAAAACCTTCGTTCAAATTACGAGCTAAAAACATACTTGTCGTGTAAGGCTCGTCAGTATACTGGGCACTATAAAAAATCAGCCATCTAAATTAAAACCTTCTTTTCTAATTTTTCTTCCTTTTTTTTTTTTGATGTTACGCTTATTGAAAAGCACGGCGAAAATCCCAAATACGCATCTGGTCTCGCCATCCCACAGTCTTCTTCAGCGCAACAGAGTCCGTCTGCTTTGGTCAGCGTGACCATGGCAACAAAGTGTATTTTTTATAGTAAATCTCGTGAGCACAGCGTCTAAACCTAGCAATGGCAGATGCCATCCCCCGTATCTCGTCGGCTAAGGTGTAAACCGCATGCAAGCGATTTGGCGAGCGGCCACACAAGCGACGGCGACCCGATTCGCTGTCGTGCGGTCAGTTGCGCGACAGAGCAAACCGCATGAAAGCCACTGGAGCAGGCGACAATGTCGATGAACGAGGTTTTCTAGAAATCCAAAAACTGAGGGACGCGACAAATGACAGTGAGAAATTTCCGTCCCTTTTCCCTGACTGTCCTCGTTGTCACCGTCGCTTGTCCCGTCGCTCGATAAATCGCTTACTTGCGGTTCAGCCTTAAAACGAACGTCGCAACGCTAGCCCAAGTCGGACGCGCCGTTCTGAACGTAGACGCTGATAGCGAAAGGAGGTGGCGTATCAAACCCTTGGTGTTTTGACTACGCTTGGTGCACGCTCGACCACGAGAGTATAATCAATTTTCTTAGAACGGAGTGGGGCGAAGTGAGACGTAACTGCCCGTATGGCGTAGTCTATTGGAAGCCTTGCATGGACTTCAAGACAGCGTTGCCGCGTCGGTTGCAGACGGCATTCGGACGATGGCGTGGCTGCTGCTGGCTTACAACGCTCGGTCCGCATATGTATCTATTGACATTCGGATATTATTGACGACTCAAGCGAAATCGACGGCACCTAGCGGCTAGAACAGAAAGCTTTGGCGGCAGGTTCGATCACCAGCCTTCTCGAGCGTCAAATATACACAGCGCCTGGCGGCCTAAAGACGAATCCTCGAAAGCCGGTTCAAAAACACGTGGTGAAAGCGTCAGTAGCCTATAGCAGACGGACGCGCAGAAAAAGACGGGGGTAGGTCGAGCACGTATTTGGGGTCTTTCGCTGTGCTTTTCAATGGACGGAATGTGTAAAAAAGAATTCAAAATAAGCGCATACCGCAGATGGGTGATTTTCTTCAGTTCCGAATATTTGATAAGTCGAATACGAAAATCGTGTTTTTGGGCTATCCGGTAGCTGTTTTTTGCCCTGGAACATGGGATAAATTATCAAACTGAAACAAGTATTTTGAGACTGAAAATGCCCTATGAAATATCCTGAGTTAAGTATAGTAACCCTGAGCGACCCAACCACTAATTTAAAAAAATTACACTGCCGACAACCCGAAGCCACAATATATACCGGCAGTCGCCTACAGCTGGCTATATGCACCCACGTAACAGCTGCTAGTAGAATTTGTTTTTGTTATATTCCGTCACCTCTTTAGGGCATTACCTTAAGTAGGTAACATGTTGGCCAGCCACTCACTGTTGCCGGAAGCTCCATCATTTTATTCTGAACAGGATGCGAAGGCGTCGAAGTATATTATAAAGGAACAGTTGAGGCGTCAAGAACTTCATTGGGAGGATAGCAGGCAGGATGCCCGAACCTTAAAACTGACACTAATTACTATATTATTGTATCCACGGTAAGTGGAAGTACTTAAGCGAATAGCAACAAACCGGACGAAAATGATTGAAGTTTCATCAAGTGCACTTGTTTTTGAGAGTAATCTTAATCGCGCTTGAGTTTAGCAGCGTATTTATGAACTTGTAGGATTACTCTGCTATGATTGCGTCTCACGGACATACCTCCCGTGAAGGGCAAGCATTACAAGTAGCACAACCACAATTTCAATCGTCTTAAACAGCATCTTGTGAGTACGTCACGGTGTATTTTTCGCTATGGTTTATTCTCACGAGAATGCCTGAGTACCTTTCCATCAATCCCTATTGTAGTTCATTTGAAAACTGTTGGCAGCCACAGTATTCGTGCCGGGCAATAAAAATAACGCATGGTTTACCGGCAGTTGTCACGTGGTCACAGGTGGCCAATCAGAGGCGACCGCCGGTATAAATTCTCAGAATTTATTCCCCAGGCTGTCGGCAAAATGCGCCGCCTAAATATTACCGAAGAACTGTTGTAACCTTAAAAAAAAAAAAAATGTTTTCCAACTTTAGTTATTCTTCTAGCCCCGTACTCAAGCATGTTTATTGAGGACGCGGAGTCTCACCACAACTCTAAACAAATCTAGGAACAAGGTTTTTAAACATGGACAGCATTAATTGTTCAGTTTTTTTGGTACCTCTTTACAATTGCGAAAACTATATAAAAATATAAATTGCAATAAAGGGCCTCAAGGTTCATCTGAGTTTTTTTCCAAATTTTAAGTGAACTTGAAATGCTTGCATCAAATAATCAAAACACGTCCAGTGAAAAAGTCTCCAAATATGAGCTTTAATAGCATTTTAATCGGACGTCTCACCAGTGTGATAGAGCCTTCTTAAATGGTCAAACCAGGTTTATCAGTTTAAATACGCTAAGATGGAGAAAACACTATTTCAGGCTCCGCTTTTCTCTGTTATTTACCTCAGATGATTGCAAAATAACCTAAACGTATTTGATTTCATTTCTAAGTTTTGGTAGCATCATTATGTGAAGGCATAAAGTGGTAAAATTGTCACCGTGCTCCAAGAATAAATTAAGATTTTGGAATAACCTGTTAACTAAAACAACTAAAAGAATTGTTCTTATTCACTTATTTCGCCCTTTTACAACTCCGTAATAGACCTACAAAATAATTTTAAAATGAAATTCACCATGAACTGTCACACAAAATCTCTTTCTACGAGACAACGTGAGTATTTAGTGTCGAACAAGTCTGATCGCGTAAAATGAATCATGTCACAAATATTCTCAAAGAACACAAAAAAGGTTAATTTCAAATTTTCCATGATGATGACTTTTCTGCGTATTCCCTCTCTCAATTCATCACTAAATGGTTCTCGTACTAAGAGAGGATGCGGAAGCTACGGTATCCATCTTTCAGCTCCTTCGCTCCGCCTTTGAGATAAAAAATTGCAATTAGCGATTGAGAACGAGAAAGAAAGAAACGGAAACTTCGCTCACCTTTTCGTTTCGTCATTTTGAATTACAGGCAAAAAACACCAATTTTTATGGAGTTTATACACTTGGTTTACAACGGATTGACGTTCATGTTTGGTCGGTCTTTTTCTTCGTTGTTCTTGCATAATTGGCGTGTTTTGTAAGAAAAATACAACAAAATTATTCTTTCTCGCTGCAGTGACCCTTCCACGCTTGCTAGAAGCCCATTTATCAATAAATTCTGAGTGAATGTGCTTCGATCAATTTCTAATCTTCATACTTTACCTCCCCACCCCCCTTTCTTTCTAGCGAAGAGTAACTTCGTTTGAAGCAACTGAACCGAAGAATGCACTTCAAGGCTTTTAAAAAGCCATTTTTTAACTAATAACACACATGATCGATTGCATCAAAATTGCCCATTGTATGCTATCGAAATAAAGTTTGATTTGAAAATACCCGTGTGACTCACTTGGTGCATCCTTTTTAACTAACCACGAATTGTCTCATTATTTCATTCGAATGCGTTATTAACCACGCAGGAGAGACGGGCAATAAACAAGTTTGCAAGATCAATTCGTGCATTATGCAACTTAACCTTCAAAAAACTATCTGCATGCGGCATTCACGAATCGTACACTTGAGTAATAGATGCGCTGTTTAAGAATACATCTTGCACAGTCACATGAAAAACGCGTAAAGAGAATTATCGCGATCTACTTATGGTGCAGCTATAACGTCCTCACACAAAAACTTGTTTCTGCATAGATTGCATTTTCCCAGCAAATCTTTTTCTTGATCACGTTATTTATTTTAGTTATTATGTAGTACGCGACGATCGAATGTATCTGCTGAAACGTGGGAGCCTGGGCTTTGTTAAAAAGCAGAAAGTCTTCCAGCCACGTAAACACGGTACACCCTTGGTTTGTTGGTTGTGGCTTGCAAACTTAATCAATTTTTTTTCCGTGCATTGTCGTTTTAAGCATCTGGCCATTGATTACAAATTACAAGGCCAACTAGAAGCTTAGAAGAAAAAAGCACGCTATCAAAGGTGTTGCTCTAAATCTAATTATCTAAATTTTTCCAGTTACAATGATTCCTGCCCTTGTTAGTATTTTCATTTATTTATTTATATACTTATTTATTTATTTATTTAGTTTTTATTATTTATTTATTTATTTATTTATTTATTTATTTATTTATTTATTTATTTATTTATTTATGTATTTATTCATTTATTTACTTATTTGTTTATTTATTCCTTTATGTAATTGAAAATTCAACCGCTCCACTCCAAATTTTTCAGACAGTTGTCTGCAAACTGGATTTCAGGCTTCCAGCAAGAATTCCACTTAGATTTCCTGTTCCATACTTCAGTTAGCGAAAAGTTATACTGTTTTCTTCTTTCGGTAAACTGGTCGCAACTTTTTATGACTTTACTTATCCCCGTATGTGCTTACTGCTACAAACCTTCACGACCATTATTGTTTTGGTGCGTTTATCTGGAACCGATTGAGCAAGCGACCTTCTGTTGTAAATATTTTAAAAGCGTTAAAAATTGTGTTTCAATGGGCGATTTGCGATTTGCGATTTGACGTAATTTCTAGATACTTTCTAATTAATTGTAGCATAAGCCGTAAATGGCTTTCTACCCTGACTGCAAAAAAAAAAAAAGATAAAGCATTAGCACGTTCCGTAGTTCTGCGATAATTTGTATTGAAGCATGATGTGTGTGGAAATTTTAGTAAAACCGATAAAATAACGTGCTTCTTGTTAAGTTATGACCGTCGCTTAAATTACTCAGCAATTCTACCTCTAGTCCGATTAGGCTCTTTACTACATAGTAGATAATTATCGAACAAGAATCGTTCGAAGGATACAAATACTGAGAAACCGACTTCATATCGTAAACTCATATATTACTACGCATTTAGTTGTCTCCCTCTCAGGTTGAAACCAGACCCGTTTTCATGCAACAGCTTTCCACAGCCTTGCCGCGCCACCTTAGATCAAAAGGCTTCTAAGCCTGGGCCCATCTATAAAATATCTTACTGGCACACCCAGAAGCAGACTTTCTGGCGGCGGAGACCCAACGCTTTGTGGCCGACCTCGAGACCTGCGGTTCTGAGGTCAACCCAAAGGACACCCAAGAGGAACCGCAGAGAACAATGACGTTCCTCGGGTTTGTCCTCGAGGGATGGGGATGATCAGACATACAGTCGACCGCGTTCAGTTGCTCACTACCGTCTTTGGACCACTTGGAGACAGACCTCCCCAAGAAGACGCTTCAGCGTCAAGTTAAACATTTCGGGATATATTCTTGTTTTTACTGTATAGATTTTATTACCATGTGCTTACTCCCTAATTTAAAAAGGCCTCCTGGAACGTTGATCTGCCCCATGGGCTATGTCGGGACCTTGAAGATGGTGTGAAAGTGCTTCCCACACTGAGTTCCTTGGCGCATCCCCCAACCTCCGTAGTTAACTGCGTCCCACGCAAGCTCAACCGGCCTCGGAGTTTCAACAAGGGTTGGGAACCTCGCGGTCGTCACTCGGCCAGCCGCCGACATCTACGCCCGAGAGGCCTCCTCGCTCTGCCTTCCCGCCCTGGTAACGACTCAGAGATCTAATATCATCTGTGACAACCAGGCTGTCGTAAATGCCGTGACCAAGGGACACGGAAGAAGTCTGTTTTGGCAACTCGCAACGGCGATCTCCGTAAATTTCGTTATTAAAGTGCTCTGTGTACGATGGGCGCCTGCCCTTCTCAACCCTGCCGTCGATCCCTCATGGCTAACGACCGGACTCAATCAGTTATTCTTGGAATAATAGCCATGTTATTTTCACTGGCATTTCCATTTTGTATGTTAACATTATAACAATCGTTTTGTGGTCATAACAATGAGCATAAATATGTGTAGTAGTGTCTATTCTATGTCTTTTCTACAGTCGCCTTAGGTATGAGCTAAGCAAATATTCACAACAAATCTAATACAGACTTTTATTTCAGCCCTCGCACAGGCCTTAAGAACTTTTGAATCGGAATCTTGGTTTCTGTCCAACAAACTCTACCTTTGTGCACACCAAGCGGCCATTTGAAAATAGAGGATGATGATTTTATACTTTAGAGTGTATTTCTATCTATAGCATCACTCCGTAATAAATATTACCTGAATTCACATTGGAGGCCACTTTAATCTCAGATTAGAAATGCGCCAAAGAACAAAGACAACAGGAAAAATTGGACCAAACGATGCGCTACTGTCAACTGAATTTTTATTCGGAAAAGACGAACATATATACACTCCCAAGCGAACCATTCGCTCATAATAAAACTTCTCGTGAGATCAATTCAAATTTATTATCTGATAAAAAGATTGGCGATGTGCTGATGTATGCTTCATCGCCCTTCACACTGATTTTAAAAGCCTGGGAGATGTATCTTCTTGTTTGCTTTATACCGTCCCAACGTCTGCATGTCATTGAGTCCAGGAGAACAAGGGCACCTGTCACAATGAACGACCAACTTTTCTGAAGGTGACCGCATTAGAGAAAGGTCATGCTCCCTGGCCCTCTCATTTGCGCATCTCCCCGTCTACCCTATATACGCACTCCCGCCATGTCGTTGGTATCTCGTAAACCACCGATGTTTCGCAATCTACATATTTGTTTACATGCTGTTATGAGCACGCTTCCCCTTGTGTACTTTATTATTTACCCTTGGGCATAATCCGGATGACTTTGACGGTGTAGCGAACGCAGCAGGAACCCCGTAATTACCGACAATCTCTTTAAGTGTATGGGACAGTCTATGAATGTGCGGCAAAACCGCCAATTTCTGTTTATTTTTCAAGATGCCTTCCGGTTCACTTTCCCTTTTTGTTTAGCTTTGACACGAGGCTTTCGGTGATTTCCATAAGATTGCCTTCTTAATAACTCGACGTTTGCAGGCGGCTTCCTTGGCTGTGGTAGTTTGATCTAGCAACGTGTTCACGCGATTTCCTAGCGCGGTGAGCATCAATGAGGTTGCCTCTCCTCTCTTCACCAGCTTTGAATGCGCAAAATCAAAGGGAAGCATATCTTTTATATTTTTTTTAGATCTTGGCTCATATTTTTAGCAAGCATGATTTTTTAAAACTTGAAATTGATGTCCAGAAACTGTAGCCACTCGTGAAAGTCAACCCATCGGCATTGCTCGAGGACACTTTTATGGATACTTCATCTGCAACCATGGGCAGACTCCCTAACACAAACAATTGTCCACTTACCTGGAGATTTTGAATAACCCCGTTTCCACTAACGCTTTGCTGATCCCTCAGTTGCTGATCTGAGTTATAAACTCTGTGGTTGAAATTTGATCTTAGTACTGGGTTTTGTATGTTACGGCAATTGAAAGGCACATCATGCTTGGGGTACATTTTCACTTGGAATGCATCTTCCACTTTGCATTGTTTGTAACAAACATTTATTTATACAGCATCAAACAAATCGCACTTTTAAACAGGTAATGACGCTCGGACTCCTAGGTTTTCAGGTATATTGGTGTCATTTAGCTTACTTTTAGAGCGCAGCTCTTAGGCGCCCGATTCCGGCTTGAGCGGCGTCGGCGTCGGCGTCGCCGTCAGCGTCGCTGTCAGCGTCGGCGTCAGCGTCGGCGTCGGCGTAACCAAGGTCACCCCAAGGTCACGTGACCCCCAGGTCATGTGACCCCCCGAGGTCACGTGACCCCTCCCAAGGTCACGTGACCCCTCCCAAGATCACCCCAAGGTCACGTGACCCCTCCCAAGATCACCCCAAGGTCACGTGACCTGGGGGGTCACACGACCTGGGGGGTCACGTGACCTTGGGGTTGCCTTGGTTACGCCGACGCCGACGGCGACGCCAAGGTCACCCCAAGGTCACGTGACCCCTCCCAAGGTCACCTCAAGGTCACGTGACCCCCCAAGGTGACCCCCCCCAAGGTCACGTGGCCCGCTCCCCGAGGTCACGTGACCCCCCCTCCCCCGGAAGTCACGTGACACCCCCGGAGCATATTAAAGAATGAGGGGAAGAGGAGGAGAAGGAAAAGGAGGGGTCTACCCTCCCCTCAGTACCCTTCCCTCCTCCTGCCCAAGAGCTGCGCTCCAATTCGGCGTTACAGGGAGTTGTAAACGGCTTTCACTTTTTGTAGTGTTATTAACGGTGTCTCGTTACTTTTCTGTGTGCTGTCGACTTGTGCATATACAATAAAACAATAGTTATGGTAACTCATGAGCGAAGTTAGACGTATAAACTCAGCAATATGAACGCGCACTCAAAGCAGCAACAGTTTAACTGCACTGCAAAGACAACAAAACTGTATATTATATAGAATACTGAAGCTTGCGTTGTTTTATTTAGTTGCTTCAGACTTGCCATTACATAAAAATTGGCACCTTCATTATTGCCTATTGTCAGTTTAATAGGAAACATCTGCAACTCATATACAAAATACCATAGAAAAAACAAAACCCGAGCTCTGAAAGATTATAAAATCGTAATTTGTATTGCGGTACTTCGTTCCGCCGAGACGGTTGGTGACAATATTACATAATTAAAGGTGTGACATGTAATATTTGTAAACGGGTCACCCATGACCTAAGCATCAGGATACCACACGAATCAAAACTGGTTAATTCCGGTCGGTAGTGTTTCAAGGCGACCTCTCCACGGCATGTGGTGTTGTTGTCTGTGGCTGGTTAGTTGGCTGAACGGGCCGGACCGTCGATTCCGATGGGGACTGAACGCAGCTTCCGTTGCGACAGGATCCAATCTCCAGCACTCCAAACGCAGACTAAAGGAAAAGAAGAGAATAAAAAAACGCATGTCAGACTCGATCGAGCAACAACGGTGCACCTTAATGGGTTCTTTCATTTTAAGAACCCTAGAAGAAATAAGATCAAAATCAAATTGTTGGTACAACATCTTTGACTTCCGTTTATTTCAGACTAAAGCATACAAGCTGATAATCTGTTCTGTGAGTAAAGTACATTTACAATTGTTTTTATTGAGATCATGTTTCTTTTTGCCATTTCTCACTTTTTGATGGTACATACCGGAAACGTCTTAGAAATCACGAAAGACTTGAATTATCACTGTTGGACAAAAATACAGGCAAACAAATCCGATAATGTAATCTTCCGCTCCCCCCCCCCCCCCCCCCCACCTCTCCTCGGCAGCAGTCTATATCTTGCTTGGATATCGCGACACATTTGAAGTTCACTGCTTTGCCTAATCTGAAGTTCTTGCTCGAGTAGGCACAAAGTATTATGAGGCGATGGGTAAACTATTGTTTACGCAAACTTCAAGGCAAAGTTATACAATTGTAGCTCACTTTCCGCAAGCCCTTTGAGCAGGATAACGGTTAAAATTATAGATATTTACATTGATATATAGATTATTATTTAATTCGTGATTTAAATTGAGCCAGTTGTACTATCATGATTTGAATGAAACCTTTCAGGCAAAAAAAAAGAAATTGAAAATATTTTATTTACCATTTATCTATAATTGGGTGCTTCCTCTCTGTGTCCATTTGTTAATTTATGTTTAAATCAAAATATCATAAAAGAATCAATATTTATATCAGGTTTAAGGGGGTACACTACCCAAAAAAGGAATGCTTGAACCACTTGTCTGATTCAAATGACATTTACAGAGCTTGTTTCTGTTGTTGTTGATAACATTTCTGACCAAATTTTGTTAACCTGAGTGAAGTATAACCAAAATTGCAAATGTTAAAAGATTAAAGTGGGCATGTTTGCGTAGAAAAACTACCGTTTTGAAATTACTTACACATTTGTCGTTTTCACGTGTTATATTGCTATAGGACAGTTCAGAGGAGATAACAATGGAGCTATATTTCTACATTATACCATTTTTCACGACAAAAAGACCACATAAACACAAATACACTTTTTTTTTCTTTAGATTTCCATCTTTTGTCCAAGAGTTTAGTTCTTGAGCATGAAAAGTTACAAAAATAAATATACAAGTTCATAGCTATCTCCCCTTAAAATTTCACCCCAGAAAAACTCACAAAAATTAATCTAAGTTACGTAGTAACAAAAGTATAGTTTTCCTAAAGTGAAATTTATGCTCAAAAGTGGAATTAAAAAAAATGCGTTCGAAGTGTTCCAACCTCTACATTTCTTTTAGCATCGGCGGACCGAAACTAAATTATAAAAACAATTAACTATGGAGTGTAAACTAATGAAGCTTTCTCTGAATACTCTCTAGATGTTGGTGGATGTAAATATGGCATTATTAAAGATCAACTTTTCTTGCAGAAATTTTTTTTTGGGGGGTTGTGTCCTCCTTAACACGAGCAAAAACAAGTGTTCTTTTGGGCAATCAGATCATTGTGCTTTATTTCTACCTTCCACTTCATTCGTCAGTTATGTAAAGCAAATAAAAAAGAGAAAAAAAAAAACACGAAAACTTGAAATGTAATGTCCCATGGCAAGTAAATCAGATAAAAAAAAAACAAATGCAGCTCTTTAACTAGCTAGAATAACAGGCTCTTTTTTTCTAATCAAGCGTGTCTACATAAATAAAATGCTAGTTAATTAAACTACTTTCATGCGCAAAATAATCGGTGATCGGACGGATATGGCCAATTGATCTGCCAGGCTTAAGAATAGATCTTGTCATAAAGTATCACTATTTTTAACTACTGTGATTTAAATCAAATGAATCTGAGTGATATAAAATAGATATAATATAAATTATATATATCTATATTAACCAAATAAATCTGATTTCAAGCAAATTATTCAAAAAAATTTTAATTTAAGAAAATAATTTTGTTTTCATTCTGCCTCTGAGTCCGTATCAAATAGACGGTGTAACCACGCCTATGTGTGTATGTCCTCAATCTGAAAGAGGTATTACAAAGAGGTTGCTTAATGCAAGGGCCCGATATTGGAACAGTCTGCCTGGACAGCATTAAACTTACCGTGCACAACGTGCCGTCGGGATGCGTCCTTACCGAGATGCTGGGAAGAAGGAGTCTCTCAAAGCAGACATATTGGCATGGATTGAGAAACTGAAACAATACCCGTTTCTGTCTTTAGTACGAAACACATAGTACAGAAGCTAAAGCGAAAGTGTAGGCGAGCTGGTTTAAGATAGACATAATGAACCAGGAGCAGAGGGGAAAAATGGCAGGCACAAAAAGGTAGACACAAAACCCCAATCAGACAAAAAAAAAGGATAAGTTTTGTTTCGTCCGTTCCTTTTTTTTTTTCTCTCCTGGGTTTACATGTTGAGGTACCGTATGTTGTTTTCCTGCCGTTACTCATGTTTTCTCGAATTTCCCATTAACCTTTTTGCGTTTCACTAAGCTGTTTGATCACGCCACCTTTCCATCATTTTATACCTTCCCTTTTTTTTCTTTGCAATTTGCAAACTGCACATACTACAAAATACGCCTTGCTTTACGTAGTGATCAATATTATTTAAAAATGGATGCATCAATACCAAAACTGCCCGAAAGAGTAACCGGGCACATGGAAGACCGGGCTTTATGGCAATGCACATGCTCACTCTTTCACAAGAATACGTTAGAAAAAAAATTAAACGATTGCGCTTATCAAACCAGACTCTTTTTTTTAGCGTTCGTTGTACATTTCGTTTCAACTAAGATGGGCACATTCCGCCTACTCCTGAGCTAGCGCGCGCAGAAGCCCCCTTGCAGCCTGACAACTTCAGAATTGACCACCGTTAGACGAATACCAGGGCCCCTAAACTCGTTAGACACCAAGTTGGAGCCCAAAGTTCGCGGAGCGGGCCGATTGGACGCCGGCAAAAAAAGCGCGAAGTCATCGTCGAAAGAGACCAATTGGTGCACTCCGTTAACTTCGGCCCAAACTTTGTGTTTGACGAGTTTAGAGTCCCAGCTCAGTTGTAAATTGTGCCATTGATGTTCATGTTGCTGATGAGTACTTATGTCCCAGCCAAGTCATCATGACGTCTCGCATCTTGTGGCAACTATGCAAAATGTCCGTTGCTTTAGGAAGGGTTCACTGCGGATATGTCAAACTGAACAAATCCAGCGTTGGTTATGATGTCACGGGTTTGCTCCCGGCAGAAGCTGTGCCACTTGAGACGCGGTCGTTGGTGATGATGTCAAATGCTTACCGACATAGAAGTGCGGCCTTTTGAAACCCTAAAACGAGCCAAAAGGCGCCAGCTTTATTTCACTGAGGACCCGTCGTTTATGGTTGCTCTGACCACCTTTAGGACATAATGACTGGTATCCAGGCATGTAGCCAGGATTTTGTTTGCTGGCTACATGCCGCCCATGACAAAATGCTGTATGAGGGGGAGAGGCGAGAGGAGGCCCCTGCAAAGTGGAAGATTTGGGGGGGGGGGGAGGGGCCCGGGCCCCATTCCCCCCCCCCCCCCTGGCTACGTGCCTGCGGTATCACTAAAATGCTAATTAGGTGTTTTAGGCTACAAATTATTGAATATCATGACGACATTTCGGATTGTGGACGAGAATCACGCACAGTGGATGAAGCAAGCTTCAATTATGCCTAAAGTTTCAGCATTTATGTTACTCCGCATATACCTCATCGTTCCAGCACAGCTTGGCAAAGCACGAACGCTACAGCTTGCGTGAACCAATGAAGACAATAGAGCCAATCGGCACGTGACAGCTCTCCACAGAAGAAATGCACATTCTTTTTTTTGTGGAATGGGGAATGTTTCAATTTCCTCGCTCCGATTCTCTGATTGGTTTTTCAGGCCATAGCCTTCGTCGTTTTCCACGTTCTGCTAAACGAAGCGCTTGTCTGCAATCTATGCAACGCTCCAACCTGGAAAGCTGGCGCCATCTCTGAAGCTCTTCAACAAGCGTAAAAGGAGCGGAGGCCGCGGAATATTTGAATTCTATTGTAGTCTTCATGTAATCGCCCGAATGATGAGGTTCAGAAATAAATCGCCCATTATATATACTGGGTTGGCCCTTTTATTTCCACGTGGACTACTCAGACATCTCATTCGGATCTACCCGACAGCTTAGGTCCAGCGAAATATTGATCCCAAATACGCGTCACGCGAGCCTCACATCAGGCGTAGTTCTCGTTTCACCTCTGCACATATGGCTGTCTAAAGTCGTGGTCACTATATATCTAACCGGACTTCAGGCACTTTCAGGAGAGCACTTTGAAATTCATAGTTCTCACATTCTCTTTAATTCTGCGTCTTGATTGTCAACAGTGAACCACTGTTGCCAATCAAGACGGGCTGATATGAATCAAACGATCTTGTAGGGGGGGAAAGCTCGTGTTTTTTGAATATTTACGTCTTTGTGGTCTAAAAGCCCCCAACGGTCACGACTTCAGGTTGCATTGTATTCAGGTGCGCGTGCTACTCACCAGAATGCTTGGGAAGACCAAAGAACATTTTGGAGGTGTGACACGAGCGCAGTCTTGGGCTGGCATGGTCGCGGCCAACACTGCAACTTCCCCCCAAAATATTCGATTCCATCATTTTAGCACTGCCCGTGCTAATTTTACCGACTATTAACATCCCAAAACATGCTTTGGCTGCATCCCCTTTCTTATTCCTGACAAATATTATTGTCTCTCGAAGCAGCATTGGTAAATATTTTCATTGGCGCTCCACGTTTTCTATCAGATCAGAGATTGAACATATATAAAATACTTCATGAAATATTATTGTCAATTTCCTGCCTGATTTTCTCTTTCCGTCAGCCGCTTTTTATGTAAGGAATCGTTTTGTAGGCGGGCTTTTTAGAGCACATTAAGAATAAAAGAACTTTCCGATTGAGATTGTTCAGGAATTCAGAACCTTGGGCTTGATCTTCAATGAACATATGTCTTGGGATTCCCATATCAAAAATATAATTCTAAAATTAACTGGGGTCAATAGACTAACTTATAGAAATAGCTTTGTGCCTCCGCCGTTCGTCAAAAGGGTTGTGTATAAGTCATTATTTTGCTCAAATCTTAAGTACTGCCATCTCATCCGGGGTATGACCACATTGACCCAACTTAAGCAAAATTCATTCACTTAAAAAAAATGGTACGTGTTATTTACAAGGCCTCGTACGACTCACATACGGAAGAATATTTTAGACGGCTAGACTTATTAACAGTTCATAATTTGTACAATTACAGACTCATTTCAACCGACAAAAAACGGACATATAGCCATAATAAATAAAAAAATTCGGAGTTATCCATGTTCTAAATTAAATAACCCCGGTACGAAAATCGAGGATGGGAATGCAGGCAGATAATTACTAACAAAACTGCATACAGAGACAATATGATAAGGCACAGTTTGCCAGAACTACCAAACCATTTGGCCACTAACTCCATACATGTACATAGCATATTTCTTATAGAATTAAGAAAATGTATACTGTCATACCATCGACGTGAAAGAAAGGTTTGCTCATCTCAGGTTGAGTACATTTGACACAAAGCTTATTTTGTATATTAATTATCTGCTCCAGTTGCTTTTTCAGTGTAGTTTAGTAAACAGTACGTACTCTGACCATTTCTCAAACTTTTTCTGCATCTGTTATTATTTCTGTCAAATCACAGGTTCGTGATTTTACGTGCTATATGTATGAAAGGTTTTTTGTGTATAGGGTTGTGTCTTTTTAGTACTGGATTCGGAGGTTATGTGTATTGCATTTTTTTTATTAGGAATATTCAAGCATAAGCGCTTAACACAACGCTTACTTTTTATTGTTGTTCTCTGTATCTCCGCTACTGGTATGTAGGTGGGACGAGGGCCTCGTCAAGCTGACTGATGAGCCTTTTTTTAGCTTCCTCAATACATGTTGAATGGGAAAGAAATTTTATTTTCAGTAGAATTAGATATGATTTTTTTGAAAAAATCGAACTAGGGTAGCCTGTTCGGCGTGAAACCGTTTGCCGATATAATCATTAAAAACGAATAAAGTGAGTCGTTTCGTTTTTACGCTTCCGAAGCCAATTTTAATATCTTCCAGCGACTAAACCACTCACTGCATTTTTGCAATTTTTATACTCATACTGAACACGGAGATATCAAACTGCCTTTGGTAATTTATTGATTAATAGGCCGGTGTAAGCAACATCTGAAAAAACATCCTATTTGGCATGTTGCTTTGCAAAGAACTTGCAATATGCATTTTTACAACAGCGAGCTTGAAGGCAAAAAAGACCATTGTTTTGGTGTTAACATTTTTCCTACCTATACTGTAGATGTCTAGGAGCAATACTTCAACAAAATCACTCTATGGCTTTGGTATGCACGCCTGTAGAAAAGATATATGGAGCGGTATTATTCTCGGTGTTTCACTCTTTAAAATTTCCTTCCCTAAAATGATGAAAACATCTATTGAAAAAAACCGCGGTTCCGCACTACATTACACTCTAAGAAATCGTATGTGTCTAGTTTCCCACAAAGCTTCCGGGAGAGCCAGTTGCTGCGATCTGCGAAGGAAGCTCGGAGAATGAAGTGGCTGAAAATATGTCAAGAGCTAAAACATCTATCTGCGATGTGTCACTTAGCATGACGTAAGCACGTGGAACGTCTGACTCTCTAAAGTGATTTGCAGCAAAGTAGACCCACTAGAGTTCTTAGTGTGTAGAACTAAATTTACAACAGAGGTCTAGAAAATCGGGAACTCACCTGACGCAAACACAACAAAAGGGACGTACTTTCTCGTAGTCGACATCATCCTTCTAACAGTTGTTTGAATCCAAAGAAGCTCGAACTGCAACCCTTACAGAATGCAGAATGAAGGTTAGACTCTATAGCGGCCAGTTCACTTTCGGATAAGGTCTGGCGCTGCAGCTGGCTTGGAATCGACTCAGAAAAATGGCTGCCTTCCAGACCTTGTCACCGGTATGCCACTGATGTACTGCGGCCCATTCTTCTACGCGTGTTGATCTTGTCTTCGAGAAAGTGTGTGGACCCAACAGCCGTTCTGCTTGATCTCCGGCGCGTGTCGGGATGAGTTGTTAGCCAACGCCCGTTATTGACAGCCACGAATATAGCGGTGAAAGATGGACCTTTGTGTGGAAGGAGTTTATCAGGAATAAGTCACAGGGCGACCTAGAACAGAACTCTACTAGGCTTAAATGCTCAAGTTGCAGTATATGGCTGCTTGGTTCAGGATTCAATTGCACCAGTTAGAGAAATATGCCGGCTCATGGAAGGGTATTGAGACCTTTATTTATTATGTTTTTCCGTTTGCATTGCCAAGTTGATTGTTCCACTGAGAAACAAGTTTATGTTCAGCATGCTGACAATAAAGTGAAGTGCATACGCCATACGGAGAAGGAACGTTTTTCTAAGTGCTCAATGCCTCTTTCTTAGATGGAAAATATAGAACCATGATGGTGTAACTATTTTGCCTTTAAAACCTCATAATATATAGAAGCCATTGAACACTTAAAAAAAATTTCAAACTGTTCCTTTAAAGTTGTAAAGGTAGTACAAGAATCTCAATCAACTTTGAATTCATTAACTATAAAAACAAATAATTAAACAAAAAATTAATCTTTTGAGCCGGTAGTGTCACGAGACCAGAAGGTCAAGAAGGGGTACTTAGCAGTTCAGTACATGTTTCAAGTATCGACCGCACAGTACGACTTTCAAGTAGCTCAACACTCTTGGGAAACGTTTCCCTACCAATGTAATTGCGTTTAGTTTTTACATACGCAGTTTGATTTTAATTAGTAACTTTATCCGAAAGAGACCTCGTGTTTACAGTTTCTTTAAATTGAAGTCATGTATCTACTTCATGGCGCTGTATCTTTCAGCTACGCTTCAAAGCTGTGTTTAAAAAATCGCCACCAGACGGCACATACTGCCTCGCATTGCGAATGTTTTTAGCTAGAAAAATGCAAAGCCGCGTTATATTCAAGTTAAAAGGACAATTCAATGCCCTGAGGCAATCCATTTATATCGAGTGTTCATTATGTACCGCAGCGACATCTAATAATGCCTTCATCTCAGTGCTCGCAACCCTTGGGAACCGAAATAAGTATTCCTGACATTTGTTGACGTTCCACTTGAGGAAACTGCGACGTTGGGTGGTTTCTGAGGCAAAAACCCAGTGCAAGTGTAATCGCAGAGACGGGGCTTTCTCACCGACCGGACATGTGGGGCGACAACAGTCTGCACATTTGCCACAGTTGATTGGGGTGTGAGTGTCTATAGTCACTAATTGCAACCGTCAGGTTAACTTAATAACGCCAAATTACTCAGGCTCGACTCATGCGAAGGCTCTTGTTTCATTTCTATAATTAACCCGAGTTAAGGCACTACGATAAAACGAAGGGAAAGCGATATATAACGTCTCGGTCTCACGCTCAGCGACTAAAGTATTACAAAAGAAAAACGCTTTCAGACACTCGACAACCCTTTCCTCAAGTTTTTCCTGATGTTTAGGATTAATTATAAAGGTCTTTACCAGCTTACCTTCGTCTTCGCTCCTTCTCGTAGTCCTACATTCCACGTTTTCTTGAATGCGGGCACTGATTATATTAAATTATTGTCAGGGTGGAGGTTCTTACATTTTTTTACCGGTCATTATGTTTAATTTTCGCGCTGCAGCATCGCAGGGTCGGAAAACCAAAATAGTTGCACACGCATAAAAAAAACCACAGTGGTTCTGCTTTGTTCAACATGCGTGACGTCACAATGTGGAGCTTCATGTAGTACGTACCCTCACATGTAGTACGTACCTTCAAGGAAATGCCATATTGTTCGTCTATGTTCGCAGCGCATGCTCAGAACTAGCCGTTTATCTTCCACCAAGAACAACTATCGGGATCGGGAGGACCGCACAATTATCCACGTTCAACCTTCATTCCAGCCATTCAGGATTGTACGTTGTTATTGCCAGGTGATAAACGGTAGCTAGTCACGAGCATGCACTGCAAACAACATGGCTTCCCGTGTATGCCTCCGACACCAATAAGTACGCACTCCCTCAAGTACCTGCGTCCATACAACCATGCTCTCTACTCATATCACGATAGTCGCTGACAGCTTAAGAACTGCAGAGCGTTGTATCATGTCCACGCTCCTTTCTTCGTGATTTTTCCTCCAGCGTTCTCATTACGATGCCTGGAGTGCGTCTCCGATTGGTGCGTTTAGCTTCCAATCCCCACAAATACATCCAAAGATGGTAGCGAAGGGGCGAGAAATGGCGTCACAGAAGCCGAAGTGCCCCGCTGTCGAATGTCGCGATTCTGGCAGTTGGTTGCACAAATTCTGTCAAAAAAGAACGAGCGAACGCGAGTGTCGCTATCATCGCGGCGTATCAACCCCTGGCTGCCGAAACTACCATGAATCGCAACCCTGAAAAGCGACCTGCAGTGGAGCAGGCGTCTGCCATACCAATTACCGCTGCTAGGACACCGCCAGGATCGCGACCGGCGACAGCATGACACTGGTATGTCGTCGTCGGGCCCAAATCGAGGGACCATTTTTTGGGCGCGGTAAACCCACCAGTCGGAAACGAGATTCCAGGCACCGTAGTCCCGATCGACTAACGCGGCAATCGTCTTGAGTGTTGAACTGTGATAAGATTAAAAGAACTCCGCCACTCCCAGTTAAAATGCCAACTGAGGTGGAAATCAAAACCAAAATAAACGACTGGTATCGCCTTCGTGGCACGCAATGTGATCACAGCAAAAACATACTGCGTCAAAGTGAAGCCGCGTTCCCCACCAAAACCGATTTTAAAGATGCGACCAACTACTCTTTAGCTGGTGGCAAGCGGGTTAGTTTCTAGCACGCCGGGAACCCCCGATAAACAGAGGTTAGCCTCTTATCAATATTTATATCCGTATCCATAACACAACCGTGACGTCACGTCGTGGCTGTAAAGCTGATACCAGTGTTGCCATCCCTTTTAAGCAGATAGTTTTTGTTTTGCCGTTGACGTCCGAAACCAAACTTTGAGCCGTGATATTTATAAAACTACACACTATGTTCAAAAAAAAATTGTATTTTGTCATTCTGGGACGCTGACTGAGCTGAAACAGTCGTAATCCCAAATTTCGAAAATATTGACCGGAGTCGCCCTTCAATATGTGAATGACTACAATCATCCCTTTTCCTCTACTTCAAAAAAAAAACAATAACAAAAGTATCTGCATTCATAAATTAATAAAACCGAAACCGCTCCTTTTAACGTGATATACTCGATGATAAATTGTTCTAAATTTGTATCGCTGTGCTTCTTTCTTTTTTAATATATAAACCCAATATTCAGCGTTGGATCTGCTTTTAGAAATTGTTGAGACCTATCGGTTTTAGGTTTTGTTTTTCTTGCATTCTTGCACATATTTATTTATCTTTGACCCTTCCTACAGGGCATTCAAAGACAGGAGTGAAGGTGAGAGCTATTGGCGCTGCAATCGTCATGCTGTCCCAGTGAAAAAGAACCGTAGTGCACCCCACTGGCCATTGAAACTGCGTAATTATGCGGAGGGCAAGTTCGTCTGCTTCTTACGCAGGGTGTAACGGTGACGTCAGAACGCCGAGCCCCGATTGGCTGATCGCGACCCCCTATCTGAGTGTCGTCTGCTCCTTTGCATCGTCGTCTGCGCGCAACGTCGCCTGCGTCCGTCTTACCTTTCCTGCGACTTTCGAAAGTGCAGAGGCCAGAGGTCAGGTTCACAAAACGATCTTACGCCAAAAATGTGCGTAAGACAAAGCTTGAGAACACATTCATGTTCACGAAGTTTTGTAAGTTTTGCGCAGGTTGCGACGAAATCCTACGACAGCTCCGAAGCTGTCTTACACACTTCTTACGGTCAAATCAGCATGGCCGACAGCGTCGCGGTCGCGACGATTAACGGACGTTTATTTTTCTACGTGCGCTTCTCACGCGTCCCGACTTCAAGCAGCAAGAAAAAAGTAAAAATTACTTGAAACAGACCACGACAAACAAGAACGCTGGATCCACAAACACCCGGGAAAAACTCCAACGGCCACGATTCCACCGACAACGACCAAGCGAGCTCGGCCGATAGGCCTAGCAGGCACTCCGACTCGGCGACCGTCTGCCCACGACCGGCTGGCGTGCCGAATGGAATATGCCCGCGCGACTCTTGTGAACCCTTCTCGTCTTCTACTTTGATCGCTGACCTCAATTTTAGGTTAAGAGGTCAACCTCTTCCTCTTGTCATCTTCTTGTTTTCGGAGGCAACGGTGACTCTGGCCGGTAAAAAAGCGGTGAATCTCCGACAGACGCAAGAAAGGTAAAGCAGCCATCGCTTTGACTGGCAGACGTAAAGCAGACGACGTTAACTGCGCCAACCCGCCGACGCCGTTAAAGAGTGAGGAGTCTCGCCGCACACGAAAGGCGGGAAAAAGTATTTGGGAGGGAACTTGCGGACACTAGCCATTCTCACTCTCGGTTCTTAGCAAACAAACCTCGGCGCCTCGGGACACCTCGCCAGTGAGTCCTTTCACTTCCCTCCTTGATGCGCGTCTGCTAGTTGTTAGACAAAAATAACGTACCGCTCGAGTTATTTCGTCTGTCCTCTCTCTAAGGCGAAGTCAAGCTCGCTCGACTTCCGAAAGTCGCAGGAAAGGTAAGATAGACGCAGACGACGTTGCGAGCAGGCGACGCTCAGATAGGGGGTCGCGATCAGCCAATCAGGGCTCGGCGTTCTGACGTCACCGCTACTTCCTTTCTCATGCGCAGGAGACGAAAATGAGCCCGGTTGCGGGGCGTATTGGAGGGCGATGCTGCTCGCTTACTAGCTATATCGCGGACCTACGAAGATCAATGAATGCACCCAAGAGCAATATGCATACAGGTACTTTTGGAAGTGTGCTGAGCTATCGCCATTGACTGCTTATGAAACTCGTGCGAGGTGAGTCCCGAACATCGTGTCATCGCTCCGCAGCCAATGCGTTTGAGGCATTAGTCGCCCAGAACGTAAAAGCACGAATTATGAAGTAAGAAATGTCGAGATGATAGCCTACGCTTTCCTAAGTCATTGCGTAAGTCATGGCCTAAGTCATCGCCTAAGCCTGAGTTCCTAAGTTTCCTTCGTACGGTTCTTGAGTCATTTATGATTTCAGCACATCCACGCTTTTGATGAGGAGTAGCGCGCATTCTTTTAAACACCGGACAGGTTCCGTCGACTCAGAAATTGCAGTAACGTCCACACTTGTCTTTTTTATTGATTGGATTATACTTTATAAATTAATGATGAACGTAGTGACGTGACTCATCACCACAGTAGTCTGATCGTCTGTTTCTAGCAGCTTGTCGCCTTGTCTATGAAAAAAAAGGAAACGGGGCATTGCTTCGAGACATCAACGAAGATAAATAATTTTTACTCGTAGTTTGTGGTGTAGAATAATTAATGCCGCGAATCGAACGTCTTAAGTACTCTGATATATAGGAGCCTATAAAATTCTTAAATATTTCATAATGTGTGTTGGACATTGGCTAAACTGGGGTTAAGCTATATGTTTCAATAAGAGTTTTTTTTTTTTTTTTTACCAAAAAACACCGTCTTTTTAATTTTAAATTTCAGAAACAATTTCGGAAGAGGTATTGCACGAATGTAAAATAGCAAAGATAATATATTGAGTGCACGGATCATTGACGCCTTTGAAATGATGGCTACATAGCCAAGCTAGAAGGTGTAGGACGATGTTCATACCGCTATGATATGTTCCACTGTTTTCTTTTCCTATCATTTAGCATTGCAGGCGCTGCCCTGTGCTCATAACACGATCCGGCCTCCGGTCATAGATACGTTCTCACCGCCCCCCCCCCCCCCCCCCGACCTCGTTCTGCCCTTCTCTTTCTCTCTCTTCTTCACAACATACCATGCACATAATTCGTTTCGTAGGGAGCTGAATGCATAAGACTCCAGTTCGTGACTTTTCCCTGTCCAGCCTTTGCTATATAAATTTGAATTTAAGCAAGGAATATTGAGAACGTAAAAAGAAAAGACAGAAACCAGACTTTTTTTTAAACAAAACCGTCCAAAAAGGTGTTTTATTGGCAAGCACACCAATAATACATTACCAGCCTCATTGAACAGTTGATGATCGAACCATGTGAAAACAACAATTATAAAAAGAATAATAATAATAATCGGGAGGGCAGATGAAGAGTGTAGACAAAGGATGCGACAAGGCGCCTCTCCCTCCCCAAAACGAACCACGGCATAAAGAAGTGAAGGTTTCACTGTGAACATGAGTCCTTGCACGTATTATCAGGGCTTGAATTGCACTTTGCGAGTAAGGCATGCCTGTAGAGACTTGCACCATCTCCCTCCTCTCGTGTTGCTGCAACAACTCGTCGTTGGCAATAATTACGCTCGAAAAGCATCGCCGCAACCTATCGCTTATGCAAAGAGATCCTCGTTGTTGTTGCAGTTGTTTTTTGTTTGTTTTTTTATCACACGGCCGCAATTGTTTTGGTACACGACTTGGATCACGACTGCGTCTAATTTCCCTGGCATCTACAAAAACACTCGATTGGCGTGTACATTAAGTTCATCGATTGGGTATGTTCTTGGCGTAGCTTGGCGATCCATGTAAAGTTAGGTTCACTCAACCAAAGCTCTTCGTGTGGTGTGAAATTGTAGCTGCCACCGTACCAAGACTTCGTTCGCCTTGGTGTCCCCTTTCAGTCTAGAAATAAGTTATTTACAGCAATTAAGTCATGAACGACTGATCGCTCTGAACCCTTGTATCACGGTCTCCTTGAGCGGAAGAATTCTGACGCTAGTTAGCGCGGGCAGAACGAGAAGATCTTCTAGTCTTTCCATGAGCCGGAGGACGTGCTTGTCTGACAAGTTGCACCACAGAATCGGAAGCCGAACGAGCAGCCCGGTCGTTGTGGTCGTCGCCCGAAGCTGGTGTAGTCGCCTCCGCGCCGTCACCACCGTATCGTGTTGGGAAGATTTTGTCAGTGCTACCATTCTCGTGAGATGAGGGTGCGGAAGTAGTAGCTTCATCCGTTTTGTGGACGTCGTCCCCGCACGGCGTTGTCGTTTCACCTCCGTGAGTTCCGTCAGGGGTCGTTGGAGCACCAACGCTTGACCCATCTCCGCCCGATGCTGATGTATCAGGGTCACCAGAATCGCCATCAACTGGCTTAGCAGTTGTGTGCTCGCCGCCGTTCGCATCTGTTTCAGCTGGAGTTGTTGATTCGTGCTCCGTGCTTGGCTCGGTTGTGGCTTCTCCACCGGAGCCGAGATCAGGAGAACTTGTATGATCCCCTTCGCCTCCAGGCGCAGAGGTTGTGTCTGGTGTATGCTCACCATTGGCTCCCTCTCCCCCTTCTGAACCTCCTGAGCCTCCTGAACCACCCGAGCCTCCTGAACCACCCGAACCAGAGACTGGACCGTGGTCAAGTTCGTACTGTCTCCTGGCGTCTGGGCTAAGCTGTGCCAGCAATTGTTCCAGCGTTGGGGGCGTCCTTTGATAATGCGTATGGCCGTGTCCTCCATTTCCGTTGGTGTGACCGTGTCCTCCATTGCCGTTCGTATGACTTGGCTCCTTGCCTGAAGAACCCGTGTCAGAACCGGAATCTGTCGCACCTCCGTTTCCTTCCGCTGTCCCGTGATCTGTGCCTTCTCCAGAGCCATCCGAAGGAGCAGCCGTTGTTGGAACATCATCGGAAACGGTGTGGGCCTCTTCTGTGACAACCGGACTTTCTGTTGTCGGTTCCGCCCCATCGTGCCCTCCTCCAGTGGATTCAGTCGTAGCAGCGCTGTCCGTTGGCGATGTGGAAGCACCTCCGGCTGGAGTCTCCTCACGCTCAATATTTCCTGACTTTGTCACTCCATCGCCTTCGGCTACTCCTCCAGCTACAGTGGTAGCCGTTCCTGATGTGCCACTTCCAAATGGATCAAAGGGTCGTTGCTCGGACGGAGTAGTCACGCTGCCAGGAGTCGTGGTTGCGTCAGGGCCATGTGTCTCATCAGTAACCTTGTTTGAATCAGTAGATGCTGTGCTGTCTTTAGATGGAACGGCTTCGTTGTCGTGCACTTCATCAGTGGCCTTGGGGCTGTCCTGCTGGGGAAGGTCGTCCAAAGAAAGACCAGTTTTAGCTTCTTCTGTCTGGGCAACGGAATCTAAAGAACCACTTGACGGGCTGCTTTCTGTACTAGGAGCTTCAGGAGCCTTTTCGCCTAGACCACTAGTTGTGCCCTCAAGCCCTGGTGCTTGAGTAGTAACACTTACGGATGATTCCGTCGCGCCTTCAGCTTTGGGGGTGCCGCTTGAGTCGGTCGAGCTAGACGACTCACTACTTCCTGATACTCCAGAATCCGTTCCTATTCCTCCGGAAGCGGCCGACCTATCCTCGCCACCAATCGTAACAAATGTTCCTTCGTCAAGCTTCGCAGTCGAGCCGCTGTCAGTCGATGCTGCTTCAACGCCTGCGGTTGTAATTGCTCCAGCAGTTGTCGCTACCGAGGGAGATGTCGTGTCTTCAGTTTTGTGCTCAGAATCATTAGAATGTTCATGGATATCACCGCTAGCGCTTCCGTCCCCAACAGTCGCGGCAGAATCAGTGGCTGCGTTTCCAGATGGGGTAGTAGCTGTACCATCAGTTGAAACGCCTTCAACAGTTGCACTGTCATGAGCTCCCTCGCTGGACGTATCTGAAGATGCAATACCCGAACCGCTGAAAGATGCAGTAGTAGTTGTAAAAGAGCTCGAAGAGCCTTCGTTGGAGGGAGTGGGAGTTGTGACATCAACATGATCCTGGCCTGGAGTAGTATTGGCATCGGTTCCAGCAGATAATTGGCTTGATCCTTCAATCGAAGTAAGGCCCGCACCTCCAGTAGTCGATGACTCGCCAGCTTGTTCTGTTTGAGTGGTACTCGATATTCCTGAAGTGGTTGAGTCAGTCACGTGGTCAGCTTCGTTAGAGGTACTGTCAGACTTTGTTAAGGAATCGGCACCAGAGCCACTCGAAGATTCGGTAGCCGTTGTGAGAGAGTCAGAAGACCCACCCGTGGTAGAGGTATGACCTGCAATATCAATGTGATCTTGACCCGGAATAGTGTTCACTTCGGCTCCCTCTGATGTTTGACTTGTGACCACTTGAGATGCAGAACCGCCGGCACTTTCAGCAGTTGCTGTCTGAGAGGCTTGTCCTGAAACAGAGCTACTTTCTGTTCCCTCAGAAGCCACGCTAGAGGGAGCACTACCGCTTGTATCCGAAGCAGGGGAGTCCGCCAGAAGACCAGGTGCGTCAGTGGCAGGGTCTGTTGTAGACCCTTGAGCGGCATCTTGAGAACTACTGCCTCCAGAGTTCGAGGAATCAGAGGAACCGGACAACCCTGCTGTGGTACTTGAATCCTTACCAGAAGCGGAGGACAGACTGCTCTCGCTTGAAGTCACAGTTCCCTCAGATGCCACGCTAGAAGAACTTCCACTTGTGTCCGAAATATGGGATTCCGCAAGATTACCAGGTATGTCGTTGGCAGCATCAGTTGTAGACCCTTGTGCAGTATCCTGAGTACTACTGCTTCCAGCGCTTGTTGACTCGGAGGAACTAGAGAGGCCTGTTGTGGAACCTGATTCCCCACCTGCAGCAGAAGACGAACTGCTTTCGCTTGAGGTTACAGCTTTTTCAGATGCCACGCCAGAGACAGCACTTCCACCTGTATCCGATACATGAGAGTCCGCTTGATGATCAGGAATATCATTGGCATGATCTGCTGTAGACCCTTGTGGAGCATCTTGAGAACTAATACCCTCAGCGCTTGCCGAATCAGAGGCACTGGATAGTCCTGACGTGGCACTTGAATCACCAACTGCAGCAGATGCCTGGCTTCCCTCACTTGAAGTCGTGGTTCCAACAGTCACGTCGACGTTCGACTGTGTGGCGGTTCCCGGAATCGCATTTCCTTCGGCACTTGTAGATGTAGAAGCGCTTGCTTCGGTTCCATGATCGGCTACGCTACTGGCATCTGTTGCTCCAGAAGAGGTGCTTGTTTCGCCTGAAACAGAACTTCCTACAGTTATAGTGGCACCGGAATCAGTGGAGGGTCCTGGCACGGCAGTCGCGCCTGTGGTACTTTGTGATTCGGTGGTTTCACTGGAACTGACACTGCCCGTAGCCGTAGCGGTGCCATCCGTGCTCTGTTCTTTTATTGAGCTACTGACTGTAGCTCCAAACGAACTGCTTGTCTCGGACGAAGACGCTGTGCCAGTCGTTACATCTGTAGTGCCTTGTACATCTGCAGAGCTCTCACCGGCTACACCAAAAGTGGTACTGGTTGCTGCAGACGACTCGGTGCCACCGGACTCAGCATTTGTTAGTGATGAAGTCTGGCCGAATGTGGTAGCTGCACTGCTATCTGTAGACACGTGGCCTTCGCTCGTGGAAGTGGAGGCATCAGCGCCTGACGCTCCCACAGACGAAGAGTCACTGCCTCCGCCGATACCGATCGTAGAAGTCTGAACCTGTGTCACATGATCCTGCGCAGCGCTTACGCCCGCGTCTGCGTGGGTGCTGGCCTCTTCAGGGGCGTGTGCAGTGACTGTAGTCAAAGAAATACGAGAAACCGTCACGTGCCCTGGCAACCCGCTAGCGTTAGTTGCTCCAGTCGTTTGACTGACCTCTCCAAATCCAGCCTCCGTCGTTTGCTGTCCCTGAAGCGCGCTGTCCACCTTCGTCGCACCTGGAATTTTCTCCGAAGACGGCAGTTTTCCATCAACGTCCTGACTCTGAACTGGGGCTGCTTCTGTTTTCAGGCCATCGACAGACACTGGAATGACTCCTGTAATGGTGTCAAATCCGGTTGTGATCGGATTTCCTTCAGCGTCAAAACCGTTATCAGGCGGTGGAATGTGTGTGGTGTATCGTTTAACGGGATTTGTGACATCAGGAACAGCTTGTGTAGAAGATAAGTCATCGTACAGCGAACTTGGGAACGCCGACTGAGTGACGGTGCCTCCGACACGCTGGAATGTTGTGGGGAACGCGCTCTGCGTGGTATGTGTCCCTATCCCCCCTTTGACTTGCGGTGTTGTGCCTACGGTACGAGTACCCGCGTTCGTAATCCCAAAAGCAGGCTGACTGGACGTGGGGAACTTGGAAAGGATAACCCCGGGGGTTGGCGGGATACTTGGTCCGGGTAAGAAGGGGAACCTTGAAGCTGTCGTGGTCGACGCATCTTCTGCAATAAAATAAAAAATTGCAGTTATTAGAACTGGATTATGCAGGGGCCAACATTAAAATGTTTCCACCCGGGAGATTACAGCCTTCGAAAATAGGTCGTTAGAGCGTTAAGTGGTCGTGGCTCAATTCTTTTTTTTTTTTATTAGGGTGGTGATCTACGCATTCGTATTCGAGGCCCACGCAAGACAAACAAAAAAAAAAGCTGTCTTCCAACGATTGGAACTTGAGTGTGTAATGAAGTTAATTATTTCTTTGTTTTTAAGGACAATTAGTATTAAAAGATTCTCTTCATATATTTTGTGACCAAACATTGACCTTTCCTTTTGTAATTGTGAAGATTGTAAATATAAAAGAAACAAAGTTCGTCGAGACATTATCAGATTTCTTATTTATGGTATGTTGGTGTACTAAATCGTCTCTATTTGTGTTGGTCTCTAAGTATCGCCAGTCGGGTACTTTTCATTATGTTCAAAATCCAGCATCTCACTTGAGCCCATATATTTTGTTGGCAAACACAATTAATTGGGACTGTGATACTTATATTTCAGTGTCACAGCGCTCACATGACATGCAAAAAAAAAATCACGGGGACTCGGAAAAGAACGAGGCTAGATAAGCGATTGATCTAAAGCATCGACCAACACTAGAATTTTGAAAGTTATATTTCACGTGTTCAATTTTCCGGTGTAGAGGGTGTCTTTTACTATCTAATCTACAAATTGTTTTTACATACCGCAGTAGCCAAATAATAGTTGTAAAGTGCATAGCAGAATTATATTGTACTGAAGCCACTTTTATATGACTATTATTAATAGCGCATATGTTGAATAAGGACACTTCTCATCGAGACGAAGACATCTGGTTTTGCTACATTAGCATTTTTTTTTTCTTAAACTCAATGCTTCATTTTATTCTAAAAAAGAGTTTTGAAAAACGGATAGTCTTACATGTGCTGAATCAGGATCAAGCCACTTTAGGCACGAGATAATAAAAGGATTCTAAAAACTTGAATAATAAAAACTTAAGAAGTTCGGTTTCAATAGTAAAATCGATGTAGAGCTATATTTCAAAAAATATTAGTACTTTGTAACCAAAATAAATTGACCATGTCAAGTTCAAGGGGCTCACGATGAAATAGACAATCCTTATCTTGGAGCAATACTTCGTAGATATAAAGCGTAATTAGTTTACACTGTGATTAAATGGCATTTTAAAATTAAATCTACAATATAGTTTCATAATGTCTCGGAAGTCTATGTGTAGAAAATTGTGTGCGCTCCAACAACATAAAATGTGCCAGTTTGTTTCTTTTGGGGAGAAGGGGGGAAGGGGGGGGATTAGGCTAAGCGTAATGCTAAATGGAGCGCTGGATGCTAAATGGGCTAAATGGAAAATGCTAAACGCAAAAGGAGAATCCAATATCTTTTTCTAGCTCTTCCGGAGCATCTTCTTCGGTTCCTCCAACCCCGCTCCATACCGTTGCGCAGGACCGCCGTATTGTGAACGGAAGGATGGACAGATGAAGCTAATCCCTCTGAATTGTGCGAGAACTCGCGCCATATAGCCGGTGTTTCTAATACGTCGATTTGAACGCTGCCACACGCATCTAACGTCAAGCTTGGACGTTTCGGTATTGTGGGAAGATTAACCGGTTCTCGGCGGAACATTTTTTTTTTGTTTTTAAAGTTCAGACCGGGTTTTTAAAACACGTACCGAGGGGTGGACAATGGTCGTAGCGCGGACAGCACTCCCCGGGCACGTAGCGGGGTTCGCAGTCGCCCCTGAACTGGCAGGCTACCAGAGTGCACCTGATGGAGCTCCCCTGGCAGAAGCACACGTAGCAGGGACTTTGAGGGCTGGGAACCACGTCGCCGTCCTTGTACTGCTTGCCGTCTTGCTCGCAGCCTGAAAACAAAATAAGTCGAAGGCGGATTCGGTATTTGTGGGCAGTGTTTCCGACCCGAGACATTGCCCGAACATGGGCCTTCAGCTAAGTTCATTGCCTGGCGTAATAAGATAGGTGTTCATGTTCTTTCGTTGTATTTTTTTTACAAGGAGTTTAATTATGCATTTCCTGACCAAGCGCCCCTGGGAAACTTGTGCTTAGTACAACCTTCCTTGTGGAACGAGGATTGGAAATTCGATGTCTGCTCGACAGAGCACGGAAGAACGTATTGATCGTCTTTTGCTTCCTTAACGACTTTCACGGAAAGTGTTACGTCAGACGCGTACTTACTCGTTTCAGCTGGACAAACATGCGTGAACAATAAACCGCATCTGTGTGTGTGTGTGCTTTTTCTCCTTGTTGGAGCCCGCTAGTTCATTTTTATTCGTGCTTGTGATCAAAATCTGTAAGGCTCCTTTTAAATAATGATCATTCGAAAAGATTAGAAGTGTTAACACTGCAGTGGCTGACTTTACTAAATACTCCTTTAATATTTTGTAGCTTCTGAACAAATGTAACTTACACTTTGCACGTGAATCGTACTGTAGCAAAGGATTAATTATTACGCATGATATCGAACATTTTTTCCTAAAAAGTGGTTTGTTATACGCTGTCTACGTGCCTAAAAAATGTACAGGATGTCACAAAAAAATTTACAGGGTTTTTTCATCGCCTAAAGCTCATTCTCCGCCCAAAGGTAGCGCTAAAGGTCACAACCAGATGCCAAAGTTTCAGCCCGAACGGACACCTTATTCAAAAGTTATAAGTGATTGACTGAAAAGTTCAATTGGAAAATGGCGGCCGACAGAGTTTTCAAATACATGGGGCTCTATGACACCAGAAACCGAAAACGGGCAAAAATGGGCCCCATTTTCCTATTGAAAGTTTTAGAAAATCACTTATAACTTTTAAATAAGGTGTCCGTTCGGGCTGGAACTTTGGCATCTGGTTGTGACCTCTAGCGCTACCTTCGGGCGGAGACTGAGCGTCATGCGATGAGTAGTTTTTTTTTGTTTTTTTTTTTTTGTAAAACAAGCTCTGTACATTTTTCTTTTTTTTTTGTGTGTGACACCCTGAATATATCTAATTTCTCGTCAAACAAAAATACTGTTCCGTGCATAAAAAAAAAACTTGAAATTATGTTTTTTTCGCGCTGAAATGTACGTATATTTCCTGATAAAAAAAAACTTTCACCAAAAAACGTCTAATCAAATATTCGCTTTTTGTATGGTTTTTGTTTTACTGGAAAGAAAAATCCGCAAGAGCCATCGTGTTCTGATACGTTATCTCCTTATTTTATATGTCGTGCATAAATACGACATCGGAAGTGACTCTTACGTGATATCTGTTGGGAGATTTATGATCACAAATGTAGATCAAGGTTCCTCTTTGCTTTGTAAATCACATGTTGCTAACCAAAAAAGGAGACCACGCGTGATCACGTACAAAGCAGGGGTTTGAAGAATATTTTAGCTTCACGCAGGAAAACTTTTGTTATATAACGTATATCAATGTTCCCACACTCGTAATATGAGAT